CTCGCTCGCTCGCAGCCCGCCGGCACGGGCGCTGCAAGGAGCCGCTCAGCCCTCCCGAGGTTGTCCGCGCCTGGGGAAGGCTCTTCCCTTCCCACCTTCTGCCGGTGCCGAAACGAGTGTGTCAGCTCCCCCCCGGGCCCCCGTCCCGGACCACACGTCCATCTGGGCTCAGCGTCATGTGTCTTCTCCAGCACAGTCAGACTGATCCTAAATCCATACCCCACACTTGAATAGCTCATCCATTTAACGGCAGAGAGCTGCCAGCAGGCAAATCTGTCCTCTCAGCAGCAGCAAAACCAGGCCGGTGCCGAAACGAGTGTGTCAGCTCCCCCCCGGGCCCCCGTCCCGGACCACACGTCCATCTGGGCTCAGCGTCATGTGTCTTCTCCAGCACAGTCAGACTGATCCTAAATCCATACCCCACACTTGAATAGCTCATCCATTTAACGGCAGAGAGCTGCCAGCAGGCAAATCTGTCCTCTCAGCAGCAGCAAAACCAGAGCTAAGCAGTTGCCTTTTTTTTTTTTCTTTCCTCCTTCCCTTTTTAAATCAATTGTGAGGCCACATGGTCCACGGGAGCAACCTGGAGACCAGGAGACCTCTCCAAGAAGGAGCTGACTGACTTTGCTGCGTATCACAGCTCTCCTGCCACAAGGTGACATTTCCCCCTCTCCCTACCCCAGGGAGCCGGGAGGATTAATAGTTCACCCGGGCTTTGGAAATGTGTGCGCTAAGAGTTATGAGCCTGATTCATAATAGGAGTTCCCTCCCCGCTACGAAGATTAATCGCCAGTACAAACGCAAACACCATTTGGGCTCAACTGTCCCAAAACGCCGCACAGCTGGAGAGGAAGAGGAATGCTCTTCCTGCTCTCTCCACGCAGCCCTAGTTTGATAGCGGAGTTTGTGCTACCCATAATATTGTCATAGCCTTTTGCCTATACCTTTACCTTGAATATTATGGAAAAATAAATTTGCTGTGGAAAGCCTCCGTCCAAAAGCGACTGAGCGCTGCATGCAAACAAGCTGCA